ATGGTCCTTACATGCAGGGGAACATATAAATTTTGGAAAGATTTTCATCCAGAAGAGTTAAAATAAATCATACTTAAAGGGGCAAGTCAGCTATCTGTAAAATTCACTTATGTAGAACAGTTCATTCCCCAATGATGTTGAATAAATGAGGTATGACTGTGTCCAAAGGAACAGTACTTATGTGTATGCTCAACCAATACAAAGTCCTAGGCAGAGAAGTATACTCATGCCTCGGGAAATTCTGCTTATTGATAGGTCTCTTAATAATAGAAGTTCACATTTACCATTTTATAGAGTATTTTAATGTTTGAAAAGTACTTAACATACATGATCTCATTTGATTCCGACAAAAAACTCTGTGAGGGAGGTGTGATTATTATCCCCATCCTACAGAAATAAACCTAAATCTCAGAAATGTAAAGTAATTTGCCTAGAGACACATAGTAAGTGCCAGAGGGGTAGATTCAAACATAGGTCTTAATGACTTTTGCACTCCATCCACTATGTTACATAGATGTGCACATTTTGCTTTTATATACTCCTCTCCAGAGTCCATAGTCCCCAAGGGACACTGCTTTAATGTGACTTATATCATGGTAAAAAAAAAAAGTTCTGTGAAGACATCCAGAAAGAGGAACGCGAACTCAGAGAAAGGTGTGAGTCAGACCCTAAAGGAGGAGAGTATTGAGGAAGAGGGAGTGGTCAATTCAACAAATTGAACCAACGGTTTTAAAACTGCCTGACTGTCATATGCAATCCAGGTTAAAGACAGAAGAAAGTTCAAAGGGCATTAAAAACTATGAAAATACCCTGGGATGTTGCAATTATGAAGTCAGTGGTTTGTGGAGTTAGATTAAACTGGGATTCATTATTATGTTAGCTGGCAGTGATTATCTGTCTATCTATCTATCTATCTATTGGAACTGGACATATGATTTCGCTGATGTAGGGAACTCCTAGATGAGAAAACTTCTTGTACTAAAGCAGCTCGACACCTTCTCTTATATCTTAGAGCAGAGGTATCAAACATGCTGCTTGTATATCCTGTGTGCTCCTGAACCATATTAAAATGTAATTGGGAATGTTTTTTAACAAAATAAATAAATAAAAATACAATAAACCATAGATAACATTAATATGTGGCTTTCTGAGTCAACATGTGGCCAGCTGGGCTCCTTCCCTGAGGTTTAGTGCTGCTTGTTTCTGTCTGAGTTTGAGTCTCAGAGAATCCCCCAGAGCACTGAGAGGTTGAGACTTAACCTGTACCCAAAGTCACACAGCCAGTATGTGTTGACATGAGACTTGAACCTTGATCTTCCTGGGTCCTAAGCTGTCTCCATCTCCTGTACTAGGCTGCCTCACAAATATGGATTCATATATACACAATTTATATAAGAATATATATTTATGAAGCAATACATATGCACTATATAGGTGTATATGTGTATACACACAATAGAATACATATATGCATATATATCCATATATGCATATATATGCACATATATATGTATCACTAGATACATAGGTGTGTAGCTACACATAAACCTGTATATCTATCTATGCATATATGTGTAGATATATAAATATACATGTATATGGATATGTATGCAAAGGAACATTGAACCATTATCATATTCCAAGGGCAGGTAGAGATGACTTTATAGTACAGTTGTGCCCCCCTAAGAAAACCCTAACCAGTTAAACTAGAATTATGGCATGTCTGATCTCAGAGGGAACTTAGAGAAAGATAATCTAGTCCAACCCTTTTATTTTATAGATGAGCAAACTGAGGCATATATAAGGAAAATGACTTGTCCAATGTCTCCCAGTGATCTAGTTAAGATTTTCTGACTCTCAATCTAGTTTTTTTCTTCTAAACTATACTACCAGGAGAAATTATTTTAATTACCAAAGGGCTGTTGTTAAAGGCTTTTTTTTTTCACATGTTTTTCTCCCTAAGACTTGTTGGGTTTTGTTTAAAGATTATTTATTCCTTTGAAGTGATAGAATAGTGGGATAGGAATTGGGATAGAAGCAGAGAGTGTGAACATTTTAGAGACTGGACCCCATGATTTCATTCTCAGAGGGAACTCAGGGATGAGGATATACCCTCTATCAAAGCAGATCACCCAGCACCTGTTTGCAGTTTTTCTAGCTTAGGAAGTTGTCTGGGAGTATTGAGAAGTGACTTGCTCAGCTCATACAGTCAGTATGTGTCAGAAGTAACCCAGGGCTTGCTGACTTCAAGGACAGCTCCCTATCCCTTAGGTCACACTGCTCCTAAAGTGTTAGGAAATACTGACAATTAAAGATCAATATGAAATATGGATATTTCCATGCATCTGTGATCTCACTGATGGGGGTATTTCCTTCACTGATACAGATAATAACCATTGATGCCTTCTTATCCCATCTTATCTTTTCCAAGTCCTCCAATAAATCCTCCACAGGGAATTCATACAATTTTCTGGGGGTCCTTCCTCCAGATCTCTTGACATTGCCTGGATACCAGTGAATGGTTGAATGAATGAAAAAAAATATTTATTAACAATTTACAACTAGGGGCAGCTAGGTGGCACAGTGGATAGAGCACAGGCCTTGGAGTCAGGAGGACATGAGTTCAAATTGGCTATGTGACCTTGGGCAAGACACTTAACCTTGATTGCCTCAAGGGAAAAAAAGAGCTTACTATGTGCAAAGCACTGTGTTAAGTTCTGGGGATAAAAACAGGAAAGCAGGTAGTCCCTGCTCTCAAGGAGCTCACACTTTAATGAGGGAGACAATATACACAGGGATTTTTAGCTGTAAGTCAGATGGAAGGGTCCTATGGTTCTTAGGGTGCTGTGGGAAAGCAGATGGTAATGCATGTTCTTTCCTGTCATTTTGACTGATAAAATCACATCTTATGGTCATGTGGAACCATCAGATAGTGCCAAGAACTTGAGTGGTTGGAACTTTCTTTTCTAGATCTCCAGTGGCTATGGTTGCTGAGGAGACAGGGCTAGGGCACCCTCAGAAGCAGTTGCCGGGTTGCGTGTCTACAAAGGTTACTTCTCGGGATAATGACTGTGGAGGATGGACTAGAAGCAGGGTTGGTGACCTGGGGAATGCTGCAATTCAAAAGTTTCTTAGGCTTACCTGCCCATTAGCGGCAGTTGGTTAGCAATGAAGCATGCTGACTGTCCATTAGTTAGCTCTTGTTCTGGCTATAGGAGAAATCTATCTGCTTTTCTGGTTATGTATCTTTGGGATGATATTCCTAACATCAGTGATGTCAAACTCAATTAGAAATGGGATCCAATAAACCATACATAAGCTTTCTTACTGGCTACATGTTCACTTAGAAAACCACATATTAACATTATCTATGTTCTATTGTAGTGTATTTATTTTGCTAAATATTTCCTAATTATATTTTAATCTGACTCGCCCTTCCACCTATTTGTTCCCTATGCCTTACATCACTTCTGCACAGTTCTAAGTTGGCAATATGCCACAACCCACTCAAGTCTACCATCTACCTCTTTGTTTGCCCTCTGGATAAACAATAGCTTTAATTTTCCTTGTCTCAAGAAATCAAGATAGAGATGTAAAATTATCACATAATTTAGTAGGAGAATATTATTCTTTTTTTTCACAAGAATGGGATTTACATGTAACTTTGCTGTAGCTTACCTATTACATAAAGTGAGATACATCTAAATGAGAATTGTTCTGTATGAACATTTAATGTGGCTCTGGAGAATATTACAGTCTCGTGTTTGGGGAGTTCTATTCCTTTCTGTCCTTATTCTCAGCCAGATTTCTAGGCCTGGTAGGGCCAAACAAAGCAAACCATTGTCAGGTGGCTTGTGATGAGGCCATCTCAGAATAGAGATAGCTTGGAACTGGGATTGGGCAGCATAAGTGGTGCAGTGGATAGAATGTTGGACCTGAAGGCAGGAAGACCTGAGTGTAAATCCTGACTTAGATAGTGAAGGGTGTGGCCTTGGGTAATTCTCTTAATCTTCAGTTTCCTGAACTGTAAAATGGGCATAAAAATAGGACCGAGATCACAGGATTATTGTGAAAATTAGTATGAGATCATGCATGTAAAGTTCTTTGAGAACCACAGAGTACAATGATGATAGGTCCTTGACAGGTATTCTTAGAAAGGGCTTCAAGGAAATGTGAAGTCAAGTGGATGTTCTCCACACCTGGTCATAGAATAGTCCTTAAATGATGCCATTTTCCCAGGCAGTACCCCATATTCTAATGGCCTTTATTAGGGTTGGCAGTTGATGTCAGATGATGGAGGGGAAGTAAAAGATTAGCAAGTCTAGAGAATGATGTCTGTCTTAAGAAGATAATGGAAAATGCTTACTACTCTCTGGTGGAGGACTTTATATTAGAGAACCCAGATCTTCTAGGAGGCAGGCAAGACATTTAGACTCAAAATCAATAGTTACTCTGGATAGGGAAAGAGGGACCTTTCTTGTTTTAGGTTCTTTGGTTCAATGTTACATGTAAAGTATGTTTTTAATGATGATTTTGTTTTTAATGTTGGATGGTTCCCAAATGAAATAATAGGTTTTTCTTTGGTTCCTACTACATCTGGTGTCCACCTCACCAAATGACTCCATTAGTCTTTTTGAGTTTTGGGAGTGAGACAGTTGAGGGGACCCAAAAAAGGTACTATCAGTTGCTGGACTCAGAGACTGTGTGTTATCAAGCCAATAGCACGGCTTTATTCCTTTGTCTCTGTTTCACCCATAATCCTGGTTTTAGCTACCATAATACTTACTACCAAAGCTATCTTGTGAAATTTATTTATTGTTATATCCTAAACACAACCCAACATGGACAGGAACTACTTCAACAACCAAAAAAGACTTTAAGTCTCCAGGAAAGGCTAGATAAGGACTCAAGGTTGGGTGGAGGAGGAAGATGGCTTACTCTTTGAAAGTGAATACTTTCCTGAGCTGAACTAAGCTCTTACCTTTCATTCCTCCCCACAGACACATAGAGAACTGGCGGAGCTTGCATACACTCAATGCAGTGGACATGGAACTCTATACTGGACTTCAAAAGCTGTGAGTATAAACGGGTTTGTACTGAGGTCTTCCTTGGTCCCCTTGTTGGGGTTTAAGGGGAGGGGAGCTTTCCTGTCTTCCAAGACTGAGAAATGCTTGCTAAGAAGTGGTGTGGGGATTCTTGTTCTCTTGAATATATACCTTCTAGTTAGAGATTCTTAGAGCTAGAAGGGATTTTGGAGATCAACAGGTCAAATCCCCTAATATTTAAGAGGAGAAACCCAAGGCCCAGAGAGTATATGGGATTTGCTCAAGGTTATAAAACTAATAAAGCACAGTCAGGACCAGATCTCTGATTTCCTGACTTCATGACCAATGCTTTATCCATTATACTGTGATAAAAATAGTAATAATATAATAATAACCAGCACTTTAAGGTTTGCAAAGCACTTTACAAATATTATCTCATTTCATCCTTCTAGCAACTCTGGGGTGGGTGGGTATTATTATTGTTATCCACATTTTATGGATAAGGGAACTGAGGTAGAAAGTCGTTAAATGATTTGCCCATGGTATCACATCTAGTTAGTGTCTGAGGTAGGATTTGAAGTCAGGTCTCACCTTTAGGTCTAGTACTCTATCAACTGTGGCAACTAGTTTCCTGATGTCTACTTGCCTGCCTGTTGCCTATGAGTTATCCCATATCTCCCAGTGTTCTTTCTCTCTCTCTCTTCTGGGTAGAAGGGGAGGACCTTTAGGGACTTTGAAAGACATTTACAATTGGCGAGTGGGAGTGGTGCCCAGGAAGAGACTTGATAATGAGATGTTTAGAGAAAGGGAGCATACTGGACAGGAACACAGCAACCAGCAGAACTGAGTTAGGCCATTTAATAACTCAACCTATGTCTCGCTTCTTCCATGGAGTCCTTGTTTTCTACCTTCTGGGTGAAGTCCCTATCCATATCCAGTTTAATTTCTATCACTTCCTTTTGGGTGAGGGAGCACAGCTCCCTCTTATTCTTCTTATTTCCCTTAATAAATTCTTTTAGACTGATTATCTATTCTAGCTGAATTCATTTATTCATCAAATATTTATTGAATGCCTATTATAAGCTTGTCACTATCATAGACATGTGGGGAATAAAGAAATGAATATGACTCAGTCCATGCAGGAAAGGAGCTTATAATCCCTCCTTCCCATTAACCCAACGTTAGCTGTATCTCAGATTTTTTGTTTCTCTTTGACCTCTCTTGACCTCCTTTTAATTTTTCCCCAGGACTATCAAGAACTCAGGACTTCGGAACATCCAGCCTAGGGCATTTGCCAAGAATCCTCACTTACGCTACATGTGAGTACAACTGTTCTTGATCTATGTCACAGGGGCTCCAGGACTAAGAGGTAATAATAGCATGGGAGCTTCCTTGAATCTGAGCTTATCTAGGTAAAACCCATCGATTGGGTTTTGTTTTTTTCCGGGTTGAGACCTTCTAGGGGCTGAGCTTTGGGGAAGAAAGGAGCAGAGACTCAAAGAAATTTTTTGTGCATCTTGACATAAAATGAAAAAAATATGCTCATCTATAGACTGTATATATGCATAATTTAATATTATATGTTTGAGTCAGTAGACATAGCATTTTTTTTTTGGTAAAAAAATTTTGGCACCATCTATACTTTTCTAATCCAACTAGATAAGGACTAATCAATGAGTCCTCAAATATTCCAGTATAACATGGAGGTAGAAACTAGCGTTAGGGGTCCAAGGGGATAGGGAAGATATCGATACATTTGTAGTAGAGGGTGCTTATTGAAGAATAGTGGTAAACAAGAGATAGTTAAGATGGAGTCAGATTGCAGTAGGCCTTGACAGCCAAGCAAAGAAGTTTGGATTTAGGATCATAGATATAAAGCAGGTGGAAAGCTTTGGGATCATTTATCCCACCTCTCTCAGAATACTGAGACCTTGTGTGTCTTAAATATTCCAAGGTCTGAGTCCAGGATCACACAAACAGCAAGTAGTGTGAGGATTTGAATTGTTTTCTTACTTCAAATCCAATGTCCTTCAAACTATATACCATTCTGACTCTTGGTAGGGATCTATGGTTTCCTTGGCATAGAGAACTCCCAGGTGAGGAAACTCTACCAATACTGACTGGCACATTTCTCTGCAATTTCTAGTCAGAGAGGGTTGATTAGAGAGAGCTCTGAAAGGATAGATGACCTTTGGGGGTGGGATGACGAGGGAGGCATATTGTTTGTATGTGTCAGAGGTGACACTTGGACCCATGTCTCCCTGACTCCAGTGACATCTTTCTCTACTCTATCCCACAGTGCCTTTTAATGTGATAGGCAATAGGAAATTGCTTGGTTTCAAAAAGGGCATTTATATGATTGATAAAAGTTGGATAAAAATATGAAAGGGAGGAGGAGGATGTTAGGTAAATGAACCTTATATTCTGAGGAAAACATACTTAATCTCCTCATTAGCCTCCTTTACCTCCACTGCAGGGAGGTTTTTGAGTCTGTCTCTGCACTCATTAGCCTTGTAGTCCCCTGTGGAAACCCTGCCCCTCTCCCCTTCTCTGTGGCTGGGGCATTTAACCTTTGCCTCTCTAGACCTTATGAAGGCGGGGTTCTTTTGAAGGTTCTTACTTTAGCTAGTTCCAGGCACAAGGTGACCAGCTGGGCCGCATAATTTCCAAGTAATTAACTATGGAGAGAGGTGGGCTAGGGGCAGCTCACAGAAGGCTGGGAAATATTGAACTGTGGCCTTGGTCCCCATCCCTTGGGCTTGGTTAAATGGTAAAGAGCTGGGGCCCTAGGACCTCGGCTCATAACATTGAATTGGATCCTGAAGAGCAGGAGGAAGTTCTTACATTCCCCTCTTGTAAAGAGAAAAAGAAAGGCAGAAAGATGACTGAGGCTTAGGATTATGGGACACATGCCTCTTTTTGGAGCAGATCATCATAATAATAGCTAACAAAGTTTTCAAAGTGCTTTACATATATTATTTGATTTGATTTCATCCTCAAAAACCTTATAAGGTAGGTACTATTATCATTTATTATTATCATTTTGTAAACTGAGAAAGGTTTGTTGAATTGCCTATGGTTACATAGCTAGCAAGTGTCTGAGGCAGAATTGGAATTCAGGTTTTCCTGATTCCAAATCAGATCCTCTATTCACTGTGCCATCGAGTGCCTTTAACTTTTTCCTATGTCTCATCTCATCTCATCACCTTGTCACCTGCTTGCTGGGAGCGGGGATCTTCCAATAACCTACCAGAGGGCGAAAACCTCTTTAATCTTCAGCAAGTAGTTGCTGAATATAATCTTGGGCTATGAAAGGAGAAACAGAGAGTTTATAGGGATTTGAATAATTAGAAATTCTTTTCTGGTTAGTGATTTTATCTGCTGATTGATAATTACTGTCTTGAAGCTTTGTAGGTATATGTGTTGTATGCTAGAATCCTGCCCCTAGAAAAAGTCTCCCTACTTTCCCCACCTGCCCACACACACAGAGCCAGATACTAGGTTTCTAGCCTAACCATTAGATTGTGATCTCCTTGAGAGAAGGGACTATTTTTGCCTTTCTTTGTTTCCCTAAAGCTTTCGTACAGTATCTGGCACACAGTAAGCCCTTAATAAATGTTTGTTCACTGATTGATTGATACACAGATTCCAAAGCATTTTTGAGGGGCACATGGGGAGATTTTGGGTCATGGTTACACACACACACACACACACACACATATATATGTATACATTATATATATATATATATATATTTTTTTTTTACTAAAAGCTTCTTATGACCTGTCCCCCACTGTTTTCTTGTATTTCTGTGGCTGATTTGTGGAAAAGTCTCACCAACAGTTGGCAGTGCTTGGACTCCGTGGGCCTGGTGAGCTCTTTGCCATTCATTGGACCTAAGCCCAGACTTCTGCTAGCCAGAAATGGAACTCGGTGGGGAGTGTGACATTTCCTGGAGGTGGAGATTGGGGGAATGTAGGGAGGGTTGAGGATGAGAGCCAGGGATAAGAGAATTAGTGACAATTCCACCTGGCCCCACCCTTCATTCCTGTTGAGCTCAGGAGGAGGAGTGGGGGAGAAAGTTGTTCTGCCTTACTTGCCATCTGGAGTACCCATTGGAAGGATTCCTGATAGGAAGAAGGAATTCTACCACAGGACAGGCAAAGCCCATAAATCCAAGAGGTGGATAACATTTTGGGGAGTCTGTGACTTCTGTTGAGATAGGATATGGCCTGGTTCTATAACAAGGAGTGGGTAGATTCCTGACCTCAGAGGCTGGGGATTAGGGAAGCTGGTAACTTCTTAGCTATATGTGACTTCTAGACTGTTTCGCTGGCCATAGAATTTTGAGTTTTACCCAGGCAGTCAGGTGAGATCGGAGGGCACAGCATCCTGGAGTGAGGGTTCTTGTGTAGTAGATAGAGATCTTAGGAGAGGAAGCAATCTGTGGATAAAAAGGGGATGCCCCTTGCTCTGAAGACTCCTCAGGCCCCTTGGACTAGGTCTAGTGGGTTACCTGCTTATCTTGCTCTGAGCTGTTCTTCCTCTCTTTAGAAAAACAAAATCACTCTGTCCCTATTGCCCAGGCTCTTTATTTGTCGGTGTTTGGGAGTCCCAGACTTCCATTTTAGGTTTGTCCAATTTAGCCTGTCTTCCAAACCTTAGGCCGGTCATTTGCATAAAATCAGTTAGCAGGGTACTTCTTCCTGATGCTCTTTGCATCCTGGTGGCTGGCTGGGGGTCATGAGGGTAGGGAGGAGGAAAGATTTGCTTGCACCTAAGAGTCTCCCTCATTTCAGATGCTCCAATTGTTTTCTTTTTCCTGATGGGTTGAATTTTCTCCTGTCACATCCTAGTGGGGTCAGGAATTTATAGAGGGATTTTCCCTTCTCTAATACAGGTGTATGTACTAGGAAGAGGAAGCTGCCCTTGTGGATGGAACTTTCATGCCCTTAGAAGGCCCAGGGTGAAGTGCTCAATGCCTTTTTGCGTTATTCCTTTCATCTCTGCAATTCTGGGAGTCTAGAAAACCCCAAGAATCAGGTCATATTCCTATGATCATGGGAATAGTGGTAGGGCTGCTCACCAAGATGGGAAATAGGTATGCCTAAAGCCATTTCATTTGGAACTAGCTCTCTATTAGTGGGAGAGACATCAAGAAGAGGAATATGAAGCTTCTCTTTAGGGATGATCCAGGGTGATGAACAATAGAAGGATAGGCACCAAATTCTATAGGAATCTCCAGGCCATGGCGGTAAGAAATGTCTATGGCTAATTAGAGCTTGCTGCTATTGATTCTAAAGTTGTAAGTTCAGTATTCATGTGGATCAATTAGTGCTTCTCTGTTCTATGGCCATAAGCTGTAATATGGATAGATTTAACAATTCAGTGGAATCCAACACGTACTTATTAAACACCTACTCCTCTGTTTGCTAAGTGGTGAGGATATAGATATAGAAACAAAACAGTCCCTACCTTCAAGGAGCATCAATAAATCAGTAAGTATTTAGCTATGTGCCAGGCATTGTGCTAAGCACTAGGGTTACAAAGAAAGGCAAAAATAATCCCTGCTCTTAAGAATATCACATCCTAGTGAGGAAGACAGCCTGTAAATAAATAGACACAAACAAGATACGTGCAGAGTGGATGAAAGGTAACCTTAGAGGGAAAGGCTCAAGCAAACGTTTTGGAGGAAGAGGGGAGAGTAGAATGATAAGAGGGAGCTGTAGGATGCAGGGATAATTGAGAAGGGACAATGCACTGGCAACTGGAGTGGGGAGGGGATCTAGGAAGGTTTCATGGAGGAGGTGACATCTTAATTCAAACTTGAAGGTTGTCCAGCTTTGACAGGTGGCAAGGGCTCTCAAGCTAGGAGCTTGTAGGACTGTAGAAGGGTCTGTGACTGTTGGTACAGATCAAAGTACTAAGCATGATTCTGCCCAGCTGCATTATCTATCTGCAGGGTGGGTACTTAATCACTTTGTGGGGGGAATCACAGTTTTCGAAAAGTGAACCTCAGGAAGCAATCTTAATGTGAGGTCTTGTGGGAAAAGTGCAAATCTATCTTTGTTACTAGAAAAACAAAGAAACAAAAAAACAAACCTTAGTGTTACTAGACTACTGAAGTTAGGCCAGTGGCATCATCTTTATATAAGGACAACATGAGAGGTAGCATGGCCCAGTGCAGAAAAATCTGATTTTGTAGGCAGGGAGACACGAATCAAGCCCTGCCTTTGACGCATGCTAGCTGTGTGAGTATAGGCAAATTGCTTGACTTCTTGGTGCATCAGACATTTCTCTCCTCTGATGCTGCAACCAC